AAGTTACATAGTTATTATTATCAACTAAAATTAGGTGCATTAAATGTTATGTTTCTATTTTACAAACTATTTGTGGGTACATAAATATAAAATAGTTCTAGGTGATGAGCGTAAAATCACATGGTGAACTTATTACATTCTGTGAATAATCGTGATACAGGTGATTATAACATATATTTTCATAAATTTATAATAAGATAATATTATGTTGGTAAAGTAAAACAATAATACAGAACGAGAAGTTGTTTTAAGTGTTACGAGTATTTAGTAAGAGTTAATTGAATATAAAAAAAATTAATTTATATTTTATGTTTTTACGTGTAATGACGTCTTTCAAATATTTAGGTAACTGATTAGATTAGGTATAACATAGTTTAAAGTTCTTTTTCCGTATAAGTTGTTATATTCAGGTAATCGTAGTTTTAGATTATCGATTCGAGTTCAACTTTGTTGGGATTAGGTATAATTTTGCAAAATGCAAATTGAAAACACTGTATTCAACTTTACGTGGAAGAACCACGCTGCAGCTAATAAGGTTGTAGTATAATTGGGTCGGCTCGGCCCGGGAAGGATCCCGCACTCACAGAATACCAGCGTAGAATAGCACCTTAACGCTGCTGTGTGTCGTGTGGTGAGTAGAGGCGAGGCATTCCATCACAGGGGTAACACTGTATCTGCATTTTGATTCTAAATCGAGGATAAATTTAGATGTCTACGTGTCACAGCATCCACTTACAATGAGATGAACTGTGCGCTCTTTTGTAATCATTACTTTATAAAAATATATCCGGTAACAATTCAGTAGATGGTAAATGATAAAATTCAATAAATTAAGTTTTGAAAAAATTAATACGCAATAGCGTCTAGCGCGAGTTTTTATTTGCAAAATCATCAATTATATTGTCGTATGAAATCTTGTTCATTAGCTGACTGCACAGAAGCCTAAGCCCTAAGGCCTAAGGCATTCAGGTTTTTTTGGCATACGATAGATCTTAGACAAATTGTCACCCGTTTTAAGCTAGAAAAGTTTCTTTCATTCGAATAATTCGCCTTTGGTGTACATATATCCAAACGAATTGCTGCATCAAAATTTGGATTAAAGTTTTGCAAATGGCTTTTCGGTACAATCCCTGACTAATTCCAAAGTTTTAAGGATTTCGTACGAAGAATTTCTAAACTTACACAGGTGTCCTCTCTAGATGACCAAGGTGTTAAATTTAATCTCTTCATCGTTTTCCCTTTCCCGATTTCAGTCACTATTTTTTTCCAGCGTTATGTCGAACTTATACAAAAATTTCTTGAAGAAACGACAAGTTATTGTGCAACATTCAGCAGCCGCAGTTGCCACAGAATTTAAAGAATGGGCAGAGCAAGGAACGAAAAAATCTTTTAATTTCCGATATAATGGCAGAAAATATTTCTTCATTTTTCGTTTTTAAATTTAAATATCTTTGATTTCTGAGAGATTTTGAGATCTGTGAGACAAAATAACATTAGCTTTAAATTTGCCGCCCCAAAAATCTGCCGCCCTAGGCTCTGGCCTACTTAGCCTGCTGTTAAATCCGCCACTGGGCACAGTATAAATATTGTAGGTGACTACAACATTCTGCCAAAGTCTAACATGTGAACAAAAGCTTTTTAAGCTTAATTGGAATGATTTTTGAGTTCAGAGATATATTAATGTTCAACGTGTTATTAATATTCATCAATAAAAAATATAAATAAGTCATGCTTAAAATTATCCTTGTGCAATATTAAATAAACAATGAACGAAAAAACAGAAGTCAAACACCACAGGTCTGTAGCTGTGGGTGCTGTAACTCTATATGCAAGGAGTAACATAAGGACATGGGTGCTTACTTCATACGCAAGTCATACTTACTCGTAACTATAACCTAACTTAACTATTTACTGAAGAACTGTGTTTCTTACATTTTGTAGTTAAATTAACGCGAGACAGTTAGTAAATATTAGTTGCATTCAACGTTATCAGTTTAATTTTAGCTTTCCTGTTAAAACATATCTTTTTCGTAAACTTGCATTGGAAAAGTGTTCTAAAAAGCGAGTGGAAAGCGATCAAGTTAGGAATGAATGATGTCAGGGTGCGGCACTGCAGCCATGGGGAGGGAGCTGGATAAACGAGATTTCTTTTAAACAGGGATTATGCGCCCCGCCGAGGGGCTGCCTTTTAAGTTTTGTGAAAAATGCTTTAATGGAGGCTTCATTCTTTTCGAGAGATAAATTGACAAAGTTTTAATGATGTCCGCTCCATACAGTTGTGAGGTTAACCTTCAGTCTCTTGATTTTTGATTATTTTAATCGACTTGAATCGAATTAAATGAATCATTTACTTACGTAGTAGAGCCAGGCTGCAGTGTAAAATTACAACTTAATTCTTTCGTGTTTGGGGTGAGTGTAGAGAACTGGAGACCCTTTTTACTGGAAACGAGGCACTGCAACTTATCGTAACAAGTGACAACGCATCTGCATTTTGATTCTTAAGCGAGTGAAGATTTAGATGTCTATGGGTCACAACATTCACTTATCGTCAAGAGAAGTAGTTTTCAATTTATAACCTTTCGTTCATAAAAAGATTTGCAACAAAATAAACTCATTGGCTTCCGAAAACACAAGTCACAACTTTCCTCGTATAAAAGTGTATTTTTTATAATAAGTGTTTTCACGTTAGGATTTTCGTTACGTTACCCCCACCATGGTAGTTCAGATGGTTAGCGCTCGCTGTAAATATAAAGGTGCGTACGGATTGCGCGTACCCTGGTACGCGTACTCAGTTTACGCGTATTCAGAACGCCTAGTCCATACCTGCAGCTACGCGTTCACTCTTAGGGTACGCGTACCGCGCGAGCCATCGTCAGTCGGTTTTTGGTCGCACGTCAAAGAGGACGCACGCGGCCGGCTACGCTATATTTGGACGGCAAAATGAATAAACACGCGTGTTCTTCGAGTTTCAATAATGAAAATATTATCAGATTGATTCATCTTTATGAATTTCACCTAGTCTTGTGGGATAGCACACTAACTGATTATCGAAATAACGATTTACGCCAAGATGCATGGAAGGCAATTTCAAATGAACTGAAAATTCCAATAATGAATTAAAAAAAAGATGACAACTTTATTAGCAACTAATAGAAAAGAAAGGAGTAAAATCAAAAAAAGTTTAGTAACAGGATCAGGTAAGTTTTTAAATTGTTTATTTACGCATTGTATGTCGCATTAATTGACATATTTATAATAGCCTATATACTTTTATATCTTTTTTTTTACAGGAGCTAATGATGTATATATATCGAAGTGGTTTGCATCTGAATATTTTACCTTTCTTAAATGATAAGGACAAACCTCTGCCAACAACGGAGACTACTGTAAGTAATTACGATTAATTATTAACGTTATTATATTTATACCGGTGTCTGAGAAAATGGACCAGCTGCTTTATGAGGCTTTTTCAATTTTATTATACATATTGTAGTCTACGTTAATCCGTGTAGGTAGTACACGTTCTATTTAATATATATATGTTACATTAAAACTTAGTGATTATTTTGCCACTCAAGGGGGACATTATTAACAAAGTGTTCCGCCAGATGTAAACGTATATGAGTAGGAATATTGGGCGATCTCCTAGGTACACTGTCTAAAGGAAAAAAAAAGTTAATTGCTGTTGGTCTTGTCGCCATGCACCTGGAACAAGCTCTCTTCGCTGTTCAGAATCAAATGCATTGGTCTGTGCGTAAATATTTGATAGTCTGCTTTTTCGTAAAAAATTGTGTAAATAAACAGTTGCCAATACAATTTTTGTAGCTTTTTCCGGTTCCAAAAGCATTGGTTTTCGTAGTACTCGAAACACCGAACTCAGTATTCCAAATGCATTCTCAACTACCCTCCTTGCTCTTGATAGACGATAATTGAATATTCTTTCAATAGATCCTCTTTCTGGATTACCCGAAAAGGGTTTCATGGTATATTCACTGAGGGCAAATGCTTTATCACACAGAATTACATACGGTACCTTCACATTGTAAGCAGTTTGTAATATTTCAGGAATCGGTAAATTTAGTCTTTTTTTTTCAAGGTTCCTGAACAAGGAAGTGTTTTTAAAAACACCTCCATCTGATATGCGTCCTTGACATCCAACATTTACGTACATAAAATTGTAGTCAGCGTCAACTAATGCTAACAATACAATGCTAGAATATTGTTTATAATTGTAAAATTCCGTTCCACTTTTTAATGGTGCTTGAAGGCAAACATGTTTGCCGTCCATTGCGCCTATTGCATGAGGCAAGTTCTACTTTTCTTCAAATTCTTTTGCAACGGCCATCCATTGACTTTCAGTCTCGGGTAGCTGTAACAAATTATTTCATCTAAGTTAACGTTTTTCTTATTTTATTTTTCAGATGACTACCAGCAACAACACACAGAATGTGAATGAATCTATATCAAATGATGAATAATTAGCCAGTGATTCTGCCTCAACCACACAACAAGTACCTAGTGATTTGACTTCATCTACACAACAAGCACCCAGTAATGTGTCATCATCCACACAACAAGCATCCAGTAATTCTTCATCGTCCATACAACAAACACCAAGGAATTCTGCCTCATCCACACAACAAGTACCTAGTGATTTGACTTCATCCACATAACAAGCACCCAGTAATGCATCATCATCCACACAACAAGCGCCCAGTAATTCTTCATCGTCCATACAACAAACACCAAGGAATTCTGCCTCATCCACACAACAACAGCACAACACATCATTCAGAACTAAAAGGCACCGTAATAACGATGACACTGCCACATTAACAGAAGCAGTGGGGTTACTCAAGCACAGTGTACAATATTTATCCAAGGAGGAAGACTGTTACACTTCTTTTGGGACCCACATTGCGTATGAATTAAAAAAATACGACTCGCGAACATTTACACTAGTAAAACATGCTATAAATAATATTATATTTCAAGCTGATATGGGCCAATTACCAGGTCAGTGTGGGTATTATACCGGTGCCTATTCAACGGATTTATCCAACTCTACCTCACGCCAAAGCTATTACAGCGACACTCCAATTCCAGCACAAACTGCACCTACATCAATACCGGAACCTCCAAGGGAAGCGGAGGATAATCAAAATGAAATTTCTGAAATATTACGTTACGTTCAAGAACAAGAAGAATAATTCAGAAATTCTTAATTATAATTTAATAAAACTTCTTTAAGCACTTAAATTATAATTTTCTAAAATTTTAATTAACATATTAAATGAGCAGATAAACATAAACGTTTTTATTCATTAACTCACCTTCACATGATCCTTGAGAGCCTTGATAATTGCATCACATACTTCAATAATAATAGTAGATATGGACTGTTTAGATATGCGAAACAGATATTGTAAACTTGTATATGAGTCCCCGGTGGCCAAAAACCTAAACGTCACGGATAGCCTTTCTCTGGCTGTGATAGCTTCTCGAAAATTAGTATTCATTTTTTTTATTTCAGGTTCAACCTTTTCAAGAATTATTTCAAAATCTTGCAAACTCATTCTCACAAAATTTTTGTCCCCACTTTCTTCATAATTTATATCTTCCATTAGCCTATTTCCACACTGTAATCTTTCACGATACAATTTTTTCATCCACCATCTAGGTTTCCGTTTGTTTCTCTTTTTTTATTTAAAATGTGTTGAATAATGACTAACGCCGCAGCAGTGGTGGTGCACGCAACCGCTAAGTTTGTCGGAGTCATGGCGAATGACTGGGGCTCGCGGAGCGCTCTGGATCGATTGACCTCGCGTACAGGTTCGCGGCGGTCCGTACAGGAGCTGTACGCGTATCCAATGTACGCGTGGACAGTGTTTCCCAACTACGCGTAACACAGGAACGCGCTATCCGTACGCAGCTTAACAGAACGCGAGCAACCCAGGTTCGAACCCCGCCGGCACCAATGAAATTGTTAATTGCAATTTTAAGTGCTGATATACCACGTGCTCGGCGGTGAAGGTAAACATCGTGAGGAAACCTGCATGTCTGAGGAATAAGAAAAAAAAATATTTCGAAGACATGTGAAGTTCGCAAACACGCATTGGGGCAGCGCGGCGGACACTTCCTTGCCCTAAAACCCTCTCAGAAATGAGGGGAGGCCTGTGCCTAGCAGTGGGACGTATATAGGCTGTAACTTTTTTACCCCCACCGTAACAATTTCTTTTGTATCATGAAGTCAGTTTTGCACAGGGACATGCATCCAGCATCATCCAAACATCCAACAAACGTGCAAGTGCATGGCATGCAGCATGGACCTTCTGCGAGCAAGCCGGCCCATTCGTGCTACGATCATATTGCATGGCTGTACCACGTACAAACTGTCACGGTTTCACACACTTATTCTCCCCATAATAAATAACGCAGATGCCTGCTATTCAGATGTATGCTGACTTTTTCTGTAGTAAAAGAGCCTTTTTAATAATTACATAAGGTTCATTTTTGATTTACGTAAGTATGATGATAATATTGAGTTCAATCGCACACAGTACACACCTTAAATTGCTTACCATTCGGCAAGGGAGTAGCTACAGAATTTAATTTTTCCTATATTCTAACTTAATTCATTCTAACAGGCCGTACTATATCCACGACAACTTTCATTTTCTGTTTTATACTTGAGACCCTGTACCTCCTGTTTAAGTAGTTTCAAAATTAGTGTTGGGTGTACTTATATATATTTATTTATGTATTTATTCACCACAAAAGCAAAACTAACAAGTATAACAGAAATATACGAGTAGAATAATACGATATTTTTGCGGTGAACTTTAAGTCTAGAGTATCTATCCTTTTATCCAGGTCGCATGCTCTATAGATTCGAGTATTTCAGATTTACATTATTGTAATTTAATGTTATGACATTATGATATAAGTGTATCGTTAAAATTTTTACTGCGTCCAACGAGTGTTTTATCTACATTTTGTTACTAGTAGTTAAGAAAATAGTCGATAGTATAAAAATAATTTTTATCTGTTATATTAGTCTTATAATTAAGTATTTCAACATGGTTGCTAACGACTCCGTGGCGCAACGGTAGCGCGTCTGACTCCAGATCAGAAGGTTGCGTGTTCAAATCACGTCGGGGTCAAATGCATTATAACTTTTTTAATGGTAGTTTCAAAACCTCTTTTACTTAAATTGTAACAAAAATAGTTCTCTATTTATGAATAAAAAGATTAATATTTACTATTAACTAATATTATATATATTTTAAAATAGCTAATTTTTTCTTAATATTTACAATATTTTATTTAAGTATTTAATAATACAAAATTATTACTGAAAGAATGTAAAATGTTCTTTCAACATGTCGCTAAATAAAGTAAAAGGAATGTAAAAATACTTTTTAAAATATTACGTTGGCACATAATTCTACGAAGTAAACACTTAGCACCTGCTGAGTACCGCCCGAGTCGATACTAACAACATCGCCTGTTCTCCGCGATGTCGTGACTGATAAAATTAAAAACCTTTAATTATGCGAAAATATTTCACTATCAAAGTGTCATTGTTTTAATGCAGCTGCTGTTTCTGATACATACTTTTTACTTAAAGGTATTTAATTTACAAAGCGTCACGCCTGTAATGAGTCCAAAAAGCGAGCTACTCGGACTTTGTATAGCCAAAAAATATGGGTATGCACATATGTACCTAGTACATAAGTGGATAAGTATTCTTCGATTTGATATCATATTGTGATTAGATATTGAGTATAGGTTGATATAATTGTGGCAGAAGTCACAGTTGACTAGCCAATCGCCTACACAATCAAAAATCCAATATCCCATTCATTATCATCATCATTACAGCCCTTCACAAGTCCACTGCTGAACATAAGCCTCCCCCAAGGAGTGCCACGAAGCTCGGTCCTGAGTACATGCGTCCATCTACTTGCTGCATATCTTACCAGGTCGTCACTTCATCTAGTGGAGGGTCGGCCGAGACTTCGCTTACCGGTACGAGCTTCACCGAGATATATGGCCGGCTCAGTTTATCACGAAGAGAAACCCCGAACATAGCTCGCTAAGGGACCTTGAGCTTCCTCATACGACCAGCAGTGAAGGACCACGTCTTATATTCAAGAATTGTCCTATTATAAGCAATATAATAAAATAGTCGCCGATTGCGACATGCTAGCCAAGTAACTCAGTTGGCACTTTGTTTTTGTTATATGTCCCACATAAGTGTAACCTATAGGTCCCTGATCAACTTGAGACAGTCTCAGACCAACATATAAACCTGCACAGACCATAATCGCGTTTATTTTTAAATATTTAAGCGTTATCAAGAAGATGCTGCTGCTCATTTCCACTTTACACAGCCTACACACAGCGTCAGTGTACAGAGATAGCGACAGTAGCCTAATGGCAGGGCGCGGACCGCGAACTCAAAAAGGTCGTGGGTTCGAATACGCCATTCGACTACTGGCGTGAACCACTCGTAACACAAGCAATTTAAGCTTACCACGAGTGGTTAAGGGGAATATTAGTAACGTTTATAGCATTTTTAATATTTTTTTTAAATTCCCTCTGTCATCTCGTACCTAGGATACCCACGTGATGAATTGGCGTTATGTATGTATATATACGTTAAGGACCGGTATTATTTTATTACTAAATTTTCCCGGTATCATTGTTTTGAAAAATATGGCGGTCCAAATCTCACCTTCACTTAAATATCACCTATTTATAAATTTTAAAATGATACTTCATAATGATGCAAATTAGTAGTTATTGGAAACATTTGCATTAATCTAGCTTAATAATTGTAGCTATGATGAAACTACAGTCTTTCAATTGTGGTTTGTTGAGCTGTGTTCATTAGCAGGAGCACTATTTTAATTGATCTTAATATTGTTAAGTATAATATATTAATATTGTGCTTAGATTTTGGAGAATTGACAAGGATCTCGCGTAATCGCGTAAAATACAAGAATATATTTTATATTCTTGTATTTTCATTCAAGAATTTTTTCGGGAATCAACTAAAAATAGGGATTTACTTTAAAATATTTATTTTTGGAACTAAAATTTTTGAAAACATTTAATTCAAGGAAAATCTTTTTTTTTTTAGGAAAATATAATACGAAGTCTTCGATAAATTAGCGCCATCTAGTGGAATTGTTGACTTTTCAATTAATGCAAATTTTCATAATTCGATACTCCACACGTTTTATTGAATAAATAAATAGCTTAAACTTTATAATACACATTATCTTTGACGTTTTCCGTGTACAATTATACTTAAGAGGCAGATGCTGGATGTTTTTAAAGGAAAGATTCTGAGGGAGAGCGAGCAGTCGTCTGACACTCAGCGAGATGACTAGGCGAAACGACTTTTCGTTAACTCAGAAACCCGTTGTTAAATAAACATACTGCCCTACAGAATAGCTCTTGAAGATTGTCCGTTAGTTCGTACAAGTTATTTACCCACGTAGCGACGTTTGCCTGGCTTACTAGAGTACTTGTTGTACGTACTGTTATTGTATAAATAATAGTCTATGTTGGAAGTAGTATATAGCCAGGTAAATACTATAGTTACCTGGCTGAACGATTTGAACATCTGTTTCTTCCCTTCCCATTTAAAAGTCGGCACCGTGGGGTAGTGACGCAGTGGCGCGGCCCTCAGCGCCGTAACGCAATGAGCTACGGCACTGAGGGCCGCGGGTTCGACTCCCGCACGGAACAAGTATTTGTATTGCCCACAAGCAATTGTTCCGGGTCTGGATATTTGTTCTTGTGCAATTTATGTATGTAAGCTGCCTTAACGATACAGCGGAAAAGTAGTGGAGGTAGCGTTTTTTTTTAAAATAAAAAAGAAATCATTTAAAAGTTGAATAACGGATACGTCTTAAATTATAATATTGTCTATTGGTTGTATATATTGAACTGTAGCCAAGCTTATTTTTATCGTATTTGTTCGTGATCATCTCGTATCTCTAACCCCACGATCATTATGGGCGATCTGTTGTAACGAGCGGTGGCGAGATAGTAAACTATACTTTAATATTTTAAGACGACTTGAGTGAGCTGCCCCGGTGGTCAGCTGCCGTGTAATAATCACTGATTAATCCAAATTTGCTTCCGTCGCATCTGCGTTAAGGACCACCTACACTTAATCACACTTTTATAAAAT